CAAAGACCTTTCTTCAATTGAAACGTACGATTTATAAAGTTTTACATCATCTGCATACATTAAAATTTTGGAGAATTTTATATCTGTAGAAATATCGTTTATAAAAAGCAAGAACAGAATCGGGCCTAGGTGGCTACCCTGAGGGACTCCTGAAGTAACATCAATGACGTCAGAGATAGTATTTTTAAACAATACCCTTTGTGATCTATCATAGAGGTATGAAGAGATCCAACGTAGGAAATTAGGTGGAAGACCAAGAAGATCAAGTTTATAGATGAGCAACGAGTGGCACACTTTGTCAAATGCTTTACTGAAATCAGTATATTTAGCCGGTTGAGATAGCAAACCGCTGGAGAAATTTCGATTTAGCCGGCAGCCGATTTGTTAGCCGTTTTGCAGAAAAGAATTAGCCGTTTTTAGCCGATTTTGCTATTTGCCTTGTTTTCTTAAATTTCAAATATGTATATAAGTTTCCATTTTTGACTAAGCGACCCAAAATCTGTTAGAAATGGCTACTAGCCTTATCGTGGAAAAATTTTCATGTCAGGCAGGATTGTATGAAATTGGGCCGATTTCGCTTATTTTTATTTTAAATGAAGAAGGGATTTTCATCATAAAATATTTGTTATAAATGTGTTAATTTTAAGTGTGAAGTTTTATTCGCAAACTTGTAAAATAAGAAATTGTTTCACTGTTAAGACTCTTAAGATGCGTTTGTGTTTGGATATAGTGCAAACAAACAGAATAAATATTACATGTAGATATTGTCCTCCCAGATAGCGCATATTCAATTCTGCCTAAATTAAAAAACATAATTTTTGAGCAGAACTACCAAAGGTTTAAGGTAATGGAAAAATTGATATTTTCAAGCACTGTGTGCACATATGTATTTTTTTAAACAAACGTTTTTGCTGAGAACTTATTTAAATTCCAAAAACCGAATGCCAACTTGAATTAATACCATGTTCTGACCGACATCGAAAACATGTTTTCGTTGCTAAAACTGGTTTTCGACCTAAAACTTGTGTTTTCGTCCATGTAAAATCTGTTAAACGAAAACCAGTTTTCGCTGAAAACCACTTGAAAACTCACGTTACACTCATTCCAATCGGTGTCTGCACTAGTTTTTTTTCGATTATTTATCGAAGTGGCAGTCATATTTTATCATCTTTAATACGCCATTTCGGATTTATTGTAAATTGGCTGACCAAAATAAAATAAGCATGGAAGTAAAAGGTTGTGAATGAAAAGAAATTGAAGTAAAAGTATTTTGGTTTTGTATTTGTGTAGCAAAACTGTAAACAAAGGATGTAAGAAATGTCAACGAAAACACAAACAGTCGGTGTGAACAGCCTTCAGCCCACAATCCCAAAACTCGTTTTCAAGGTGTTTTCGTTGTCGGTCAGAACATGGTATAAAGGAACCAACACTGAAGTGAGTCAAAATGAAAATAAAAGAGCACAAATTTTTATATAAAGCAAAACTAGCTGGGAATCCTACGAGACATCTTCCGGCCATATGACCGGAGATGGGAGATCTGCAGTCTTTTAGCATCATATTTTACATCAAAATTGAAGGGATTTCTGAAAAATCTTCCAGTTCTTTTGTTTAACTGTGATTTTGCATCCCTTGTCAACATATGGCCTCGGTTGATGTTAACTTAAGGTCGTTGTTTTACTGCCTTAAAATTGAAGGGAAATTTTTACAGCGTTTTTTATGTGTATTGGTTTCTATATATTTGAGTGTATTGAGAATCGGTCAGTCTGAAAAGGCATTGCAGGGAAGATAATAGGTTTGTTTGTCGAAAATCCAGCGAGAATTATCACTCAAAATATCAGATAGTAATAGTAATAAATAGTTTTTTTTTCGAGTACCTTTCAAATCATTGGAATTAACTAAATTAATTAAGTAAACAAGTATTAACTTACATTTTTCATTTTAAAATCGCTCCAGTTTGTAAATTTTTAAATTTAACGAACTTGTTTATTCAAATTATCGTCGACAAAAAATCCAACCATGTGCCACAATCATATGTTTTTCCTAATTGCAAATTCTTGCTGGCAAAATTTTTTCCGGCTCGAATTTGTAACTTCTCTCCAAGAAATGGTCTTTTTACTCGTGATTTATTTAAATAAAACATGTGAAATTTAGTTGAAACATTTTAGCCGGTTTTATTTGCCAATTTAGCCGGTTCATCCAAGGAGTTCTGGCAACACTGATCTGCATGTGTGTACTCAGCAAAACAGCTCGCGCATGTAGTGCTTACAGCATAAA